ATGTGTCACATGCCCCCCAAAAGGGAGAGAAGAATTCTGACAGAGCATTTGAGCAGGCTTCAGAGAGCATGCAGCTTTTTGGCCTCTGAGCAAGTTTTGATTTTTTAACATTTTATTGTGGAAATTTTCAACCATTAAAAGAAAGTAGAGAAAATAATAGAATCAACTCCCATCATCCAGCTTTGACATTGTTCAACCTTTTACTAATTTTGTTTCATCTATGTCCATTTTTTGGGTTTGCTTTGCTGGAGTATTTGGAAGTAAGTCCCACTAATCATGCCATGTAGCCTCTAAATACTTTAGTAAGTCTCCTTCTTAAAAACATAACAACCAAGCCATTATTATACCAAGAGAATGACTGGTTATCCCATAATACCATCTGATTCCTAACACATGTTCAAGTTTCCCAAACAGTTTCAAAGATGTCTTAGACAGTTGGTTTGCTCCAATTGGGATCCAAATGTGGTGCTCACAGGCATTTGGCTGTCATGGTATAGAAGGGGCCCGAGACCACTAACAGTGTCCCGCTAACCCTTTTTTCTTGGCAGCAGTTAGTTGAATGAACTAGACAGTTGTCCTGTAGCATGTTAGGTGGGTGGCATTTTCAAAGGAGGGGAAGGAGAAATGTGGGACGAGAGGGTCTTTCAGGTACCCCACCAGGAGACGGCTCTGCTTGGCTGTTGGAATGAAGATGGTACTGAGCATTGGCTATGCTGTTTTTGCAGAACTGTTTCCCAACAGTGGGAAGCTGGGCTTGGGGAGGTGATCTGGGGAGCAGTTGTTAGACTGGAGTAAGGTTTGGGGAGAGTGGTTAAAGGCTGTTGCAAAACTGACCAATAGAAAAACAATAAACACTGTAACCACAGCAGCAGAAGAGAGCTGCTAAGAGCCTGGGATCTGGAGCCTGGGTTTAACTCTCAGCTCAGCCGCTCTCTAGCTATGTTGGCAAACTGGGGAAAATTTCTTAACATACCTAAGTAACTGGTTCTTGAGCTATAAACCTGAGGCATATACCAATTACTGTCGCAAAATGTTGCCTTGAGGATTAAATGAAATCACCCATAAAAGTGCTTAGTAACTGCTTAGAAAAGTTAGCCATTTTAAGAGTACTGGTGCAGGCAGTGGCAGAAGGGGCCTCTGGAACTGGCCAGACCAAGTGGAATGGACAAGCTCCAGTGACCTGGGTCATGCTGGGTAACAGGAGTTAGGTGACTGAACAATCGCCGGTGACTCAGCTTTTCACATATCTCCTTTCCCACCCCTCAAAGCACACCCATGCATGTGCACACACCTACACACCCTGGCACAGCCATTCCACCATTCACACACATAGAAAAGCTTGGGAGGGAAAAAAGGTTCAGAATTTTTTTTTTCAACAGGATGAGGCATTGGAAACACTGTGAGAATGTCCATGTGGAGGCAGCCGCTGGGAAGTTCAACATTTGGGTCTTTAGAGAAATGGCAGAGCTAGGCATATAGTGTCCAGAGTCATTCACATGGATAGAATGGTGAAATCAGTAGTAAGGTAAGAGTCACAAGTGAAAAGGCCTAGGTAAAAAAAAAAAAGAGCAAATTACACACACACCCACACACACCGACTGGTGAAGCCTGCCTGAACACATTAAAGACATCTAGGAGGTAAGAGGAAGAAGAGTTAGCGAATGCAGGAGGCTGAGGTGTGTTTAGATGTAGGTAAGGGATTTAGAAATGGCAGTGTAATGGAGACCGATGTTTCTAAGGAAACCATTCATTAGTGTCAAAAGCAGAGCTCCAGTAGAAGAGATCTGGGAGGCAGCAACTGATTTGGGTATTCAGAAGTAATTTAAGATGCCCGACCAATTCTGGGGAGTGTGGTCTTAATGCAAATCTGGAAACAGTCTACACATAAGTAAAAATTAAAGACATATAGAGGGAGAGAACTGAACAATAGAAGCGGAGAATCTCAAGGCAAATAAGAAGATGGAAAAGTTTGAAAACAAAAAAACCACTAGGTTTGGTGAACAGGAAGTCACCAACACCCTCTAAGAGCCACAAAATGGTCTGGCTCATTTTTGAGTTGTACATTTGTAAGTTAAAAACCCCGTGGGTACATTCATCATTTTTGCCAAAGGGCCTGTTCCATATGGTGAGCTCAGTCCCTTAGAAACCGAATCATCAAAGCTACTATTGAATGTAACAAAACAAAAGTCATGTGATTAAATTCGATCAGGGTGATTTGCACCCATGTGTAAAGAATAAGGAGGCTGGTGTTCTCACTTCCAGCAGAGGACCCCACATCTCATTAGCCAGACTAGCCTCAAAAGGGCGCAGCTAAATGTGAAATGCAAAGCTAGACAGGTTTCCCTCAACAAGCATCTATTCCGTGCACGCTCTGAGGCTCATAACCTAGAGTCAGTATTTCCATCTAACGTGCTTCCTGAGTAACACCACTACCATCATGGAACTGCTCTGGAGAACTGACTTCTTGAGACTGAGTCTTACATTTTCTTTTGTTTCATAGGCAAGATATTAAATACATTGATTCTTAGCAGTCACTGCAAATTTCTAATGTTGCTGGTCCGGCCCCTCTGCGTGGACGGCCAATGTTTTTCCTGGTATGTGTGTTTACTAATAATGAGTAGGCAGCTGGAAGGGCTGTCCCAGGCTGCCTCTGGAGGCTGGTGGGTGAAGGCTAATGGCATCAGGCACAGGGCTTCATAGCCAACTCATGTGAGCAAGTTATCTTCAAATTCCTGCAGGGCCATTGCAAACATACGGGGGCTGGAGCTCCCCAAAGCCACCATGCAGCTTGGTTTGGTCTACAGCAACCAATCCTGCTCTGTTCTCTATTTCAGTTCTTTACCATGAGCAATGAGGGTATGCAGCTGTATTCCAGGCAGGGCTCAACAAAGCTCCCTTCCCTTCAATGCAAGGCAGCCACACTCATCACAGAGGAAGGAGACAGAATTCCAACTTCCACTGCCAAAAGCTGAGGCTGAAAGAATTCCACATCTTTTAGCTTCTGGAATCCGTGAATGGAGGCCAAGTTACAAACTGTAGGCATGACCATATCTTGCTGGTTTTTGAACTGCATTGTAGTTCTCATTTCTCAGTAGCCTTCACTGACACCTGAATGCTCTTCTGTGGGGTAGCTGGTGAGCAGTTGTCTCCTCATCTGGGGACAAGAGTTGACTTTTCTCACACAAAGAAGCTGCTGTTTTAAGTGGGCTGTGGGCAACTTAGAAAGTGATTGCTATGGTCTCGTCTAAAAGTAAAAACAGAAGAGCTTAACTGAGTCCATAGCAAAGGTTCTGAATTCTAATAGGCTTTGTCCATATGGTTAATATTTGATTCTCTCCATGCTTACTGCTGGACTTTATGTAGGTACCACATCTGCTTAAGAGTTAAAACAGGTGTCCTCCCCAGTCATAAACAAGATTTTTCAGGAAACTCTGGGGCCCCTGTGTGAGCTTTACATAACAGAAACAAACTGAGCACCATGAAACTCCAGTCCAAAGGCTAGACACATCGTAAAATAGAGCCGTCCAAGGGAGCAAGGACTTAAGAATGTCATCGAGAAAGCAAAGAACAAAGTAATGAAAGGCCTAGGGTTCAGCAATACTCGGTCCATGCTCTGTGAGAGCCTGACTCAGTCTGTCCTCATGTAGCGTTGGTTTACATTTAAAATGTAACTGGCTAAAAATACACCTCAAAGTCCTAGATTTTCTGAGTAGCAACAAAGCCTTCACTTCAAGTCATGTATCACTTCTGACATAAAAAGGCAGCAATTGAGTATGTAAGAGGCCTTTACCCCAAAAGTGTAGGTTCTGATCCCACAATGTCATCTTTAATACCCCACTCCAGAATTCCAAAGGCAATTCTTCCATTGCCTTCTATTGGACCTTCTGGCCTCTTGGTCCTAAACTCACATACTCTGTGTGGTAGACAGAACAACGGTGCCTCGAAGATGTCTGCATGCTAATCCCCCAAACCTCTAACCAGAAGGGAGATTAATGTTGCCAATCAGCAACATTAAAATAAGGAGATTATTCTGGAGAATCAGGTGGGCCCCATGTAATCAAAGCGTCCTTAAAAGTGGAAGAGGGAGAGTTCAAGATGTCATGATGGAAGGAGGGTCTGAGAGATGCTATTTTGCTAGGTTTGAAGATGGAGGAGGCTGAGGAATGTGGGTGGAAGCTGGTAAGAAGGAACTTCTCTCTAGACCTTCCGGAAAGAAAAGCTGACAGTCTGCTAAAGACTCCTTGAGTATTGTCCCCTGGGGCCCATGTTGGACTTCCGACCTCCAGAGCTGTAGGATAGTAAATCTGTATCCTTTTAAGCCCTAAGCATGCATTAATTTGTTACAGCAGCAATAGTACATATGTATACAGCAGTAATAGTACATTAGTATACAACTAATAGATATACCGTCAGGAGGCAGAGCAGCATCCCCTCAGGAACTCCACTGCAACACAAGGGCAAACAGTGTCTGGGTTTTTCTGCCAATAAAACCTATTCATTTATTTTTTCTAGTTAAACTCCAGCATCCAGCCAAGTGCTAATCCTTACACAGGATGACATAAAATGATGCCGCGTCTTCTAAATTTGTGCATGTGTGTGTGGAGTTGGGGGAGGTACAGCTGAAGAGGAATGTGGCACTATTGTTAGAAACTCAATTCCTTTCTACTGAACCTGCATTGACATGATTTTAAAATCTGCCTTTGCAGTTTCTCTGCTCTTTTTTCTTCAAAACATCCCTGTGTGCACTGAATGTTTGGATAATCCTCTGAGAAGATCTGAATCTGGAGAATTTTAGCTCCCAAATCATGCAGATTTCTGGACTAAACTCTTGACATGTTCCACATAAGATCTGATAATATTTAATATGGGATAGAAGCAATGAGTCCCTTTAGGACACCCTGAAACCTGGTGGGGGGGTGGGTGCATTCTGGTCGGGATTACCAGAAGAAGGGGTGGTTTGACCCACCAAAAACCATTAAAAACAGAGCAAGAACACTTACCCTTATGTCTCCGTTCACAGTTTTCGGTGTGTGATTGAATGCGTGTGCAGGATCCTTGTTGTATACTTTGAGGAGTGATCTGTCCTGAATGTTCCTAGAATCGAAAACATCAATGACTATGGCAAATGAAAGGAGCCTTACTCTGGCCATTTCCTTTTTTCTGCCCTTAAGAACCAGGTAAAAAGTATCAACAGACAACCCAGTGGTTATTGACAGTCAACCAGACAAAAAAATGTTCATTTGCCATAAAACAGGCACAAATAAATAAGAGAAGAAAAATGACTTCGGTTTTTCTTTCCTTTTTTTTTCCTCAGGAAAGCATTATCCTTTCCCTGCGGTTCTCCACACTTAAATATCGGGTAGCATCAACTTTCTTTCAAGATTCTGAGCAAGGAAAGCTAACACTTTATGAGACAATAAAACACTGATATTTACAATATGTTCAAAGAGATTTAGTTAATATTTAAATAATTTAATTGTTTACTTTGCCCAAACACCTGGTTTCCTGCTTATCTCATGAATGCACACAAAAGAAAATTACTTTTTTTCCTTCAAACAGTTCCAACAAGGGAAAGAAAATGTATTTGCAGTCCCAGGGGCAAAAAAAGTATCAGAAAGTTCAAATCTAGATCTTCACAATGCCTTTTTTTATTTCTTCTGTGGTGGGATTTTAAAAACATTTTTCTACATGCATGTTTTAGCGACTGGATAGGCAGTATATTTAGAAGAAATAGGAGCAGATAAATTCTTCCACTTGTCTGCCCCTCTCTCTGAAAGTAGTATTGAGAGCTACCTAGTCATACCACAGCACAGGACAGCAAAGGACAAAACCCACATCTTGTCAGAGCCTACCTTACGACTACTTCAGAGCATGTGAATATTTACAAAGTACCTCTTTCCCCGTATTCAGCTCTCATCAGCAGAGGGGCCTCCCATGGCCCTTTCAGCACCATCTACCCTATGATTCCTTCCAAAGCCAGCGTCATGAGCTCAGGGAAAAGTGTGTAGGAGGCACATTCCTTTCTTCTAGGTGCAGCTACGTGTTTTGTGGGCTGATCATAATCATGGGGACTATTGGGTTACGTTTTTGCTTTAAACTAAATGGAGAATTCCTAGACTAGTCTTGCTTCCCTCTAAACATCCATCAGTAATTGCTTTGCAACATTGACTAGTCCAACCTTGCTCCAGATTTCCAGCATGCCATCCTTGTAATTAGAAGGGGCTTGGTTATTCTAAAGGGAAGAATTCACAGACGGTAAGGACGTGGGGATTCAATAAAGGAACTCATCCGTGGCTGGGGGAAATGTCCTGAGTGATGACATGAAAATGAAACGCTCACTTGAGTCATGAAAAATACCCTGGGTGTTCCCAAAGGTACTTAAAATACATGAAGTTGGTTTATGACTGATTGCAAAACATGTCCATTTGAGATGAACCAACTGCAAAGGCTCAGACTGCATTTATCATGACAACACGTACAACACAGATTCTCACCCGAAACTCTAGCATTTCCCTACAGAAAATATGAAGAACCCAACATAATCATGAAATAGCCAAATGTTTAACAAAGACAGTCTCACTTCAAATATACTGGATGTGAAATGAAATTTGTTTCTGGGCTTAGAAGATTAAAGCCAACGTCTTCAGGTAAAATCTACATGACATGCTTTTTTGGGGGAAGGGGAGGTCTTATACAATGCTGGTGGTAATAATTTATTCTACCATTTAAATAAAATATAACAGGCATTTTATGCATAAAAGCAAGGAAATAGAATAATTCTTTGGAAAGGACATACGTGGGATCATCTAGCACAAACATTATAGTCATCACCAAATAAAGCCATTTTTATCCATTTTGGTATTTTTAGATCCATTTCTTACATGTAAATGAAAACACTGAAAAGTAAAATTATAGACACATTTATAAATCAATGATTCTTCATTTAAACATTTTAAATGAAATTTTTAAATAAATTCAGCTGTCAGTACTGCAGCATAAGGATCAACAAGATCATTTTTGCAAATGTAAACATATTAACTGAAAATTACTAGTGTTTAAAGTGGTCATTTTTTCTCCAAAGCACTGCTTGTGTGTATTCCATTAATTGAATTCACATTAAGAAGGACCGTCTTAGTGTGGAAGTTTTATGGGCCTTTTCCTCTTTGTCCTCCCTCCCATTCTCTTTGTGACTACCTCCCAACACTCTCAAAGAATGGATAAAGGAAATCCTAGCTGTGAGACTTTGAGGACTGGAAAAGGCTCTAGAAAATCATGGCTTATTGTAATATAAAAGTTCTCACATGGGTTGCAAGACAGTGGGTCCAGGTGTTCATAGTCACCTCATTAGCCTGGAGACCTATAACTGAAAGTAGTTTTGCATAGTTTCATGTGCATTTATTGTTGTCACATCCCTCAGTTCCTCTAACTGCAAAATGCAGAAATTCAAAAAGATGTTGTAAAATGGCACATCCAGGTGAACAAACTACACGGAATTATATTACTGTGAACATGCTCTTTAAATAGAATGTGATTATTTCATGTTTATGCTTTATAAATTCAGAATTTTTTTGGTGAAAGCATGATTAATAATTCATTTCAAAAACAAACATGGATTTTCTGATACCTATTAATATTTAAACACACTTTTAAAAAGCAGGAAGAGTTTGTAATAGATGTAGAACCTATACCTTAGGGCATTTGTCAAATTTTGAAAGCCCTAAATTACTTACACACCTTGGCACCTGCCTAAATATGTCATTTGTGATTATTGTTAGATGTTTATCAATTTATGTTTATTAGGCACTACAGGCATTATTTTTTAAAAGTGGTTCCCATTAATTCCATAATGAAGAAATAGGACAGTCTGCTATCCCCAAAGGGAAGGAACCCAGAAATCCAAGCTGCGGCCCAAATGAGCAGGAGAGGGAACATTCCTGAAAATAAGAAAATTCTTGACCAAGAATGTGGACAGTCAGGTTTGGGACTGGGGTTACAAATGAACTGGCTGTGTGATCTTGAGTAAGTCCCTTAACCTACACATCTGAGTTTCTGATCCTATGGAATCAAAGGGCTGGATTAGTCACTAAATAATTTTTTTAAGTTCTAAAATGTTTAGAGGCTCTAGTAGCACCTGCTTGTTTGTGTTGATTAAAGTCCTATTTCTCAGGCTGTTTGGCTGAGAGAAATCAGATGGGACCCTTCTGCTCTATACACAACACCACTCCAGTGGATAAAAATGCTTTTATTTCCCTGCCACCTGCAATAGCCTGAGTCCCTTTAGTCTCATTTTAGAGCCTATTGTAATGGGGGCCCCAGAGAAGCCAACCTGGAAAGTGAGATTCTTAGGTAAAGGCCAACTATTTAAGAAACAGATGGAAAGGGAGAGCACCTCTCAGCCTCTTTTCTCATGGCCAATAGCATAGAGTCCACTGTTCTTATTTCAACTTGTTCATGCAAATAATGGCGCAGTGGGACCATTACGTAAAATGCCCACAGGCTCTGGGAGGTAAAGAGTGCTAGAGAAGTGCCAGTATCAGGATAGCCTTCCACTCATGATGCTGATAAGTCTCTCCACCACCCTTCGGAGCCTTAGTTTCCCTAATCCTTAGGTAAATGGAGCACTGGACCATTACTTACATTTTTTAGAGTAACACACAAAGATCTGTGTGGGAGAAGTCTGCCCTCATCTTCATTAAGCCATAGCTTGTAAATGAATTACAGAAAAGCACACAGGGAATTCACACCTGGGCCAGACAAGCCTGGCTATCAGGACCATCGCTGGACCAGTGTTCAGTTCACTGGAGAGACTGGGCCTCAGTGCAAACAGGAGCAATCCTGAATGCCACATGGCGTACATGCTTACCTTACATCGTTTAATTCATAATAGACATTTCGGCTTTCGTCTTTGATGTAAATGGCGACACTGGGCGACTCCAGCATTTTCATGCTGAGCTGCTGTGGAAAGGCACTTACGAAAAGAGCACGGATTGTGTCTGCGCTTGTGATTTCGTTCGGCATCCTGAGCTGTTTGGTTTCATCTCCATACTGAAGATAGAGAACCCCTGTATGCAAAATGAGCAGTTATCAGTCAGGGATCAAGACCCACAGCTCCCCCACTCCCAACCGACCTACCACCTGCAGAATCGATCAGAACAAGCTTAGAGAGCACGCACGTGAGGGATTTCCAAGGAATGCACTCTCTGGTTATTCTTTTATTTTTTGGAGTCCAGGTGTTAGGGAGGCTAATTTTCAACTATTATAAAATCTAAAGGACAAGAAGCTAACTTCTGGTAGTCTAAAGCAAAACCACTACTTAATTCCCTTGAAAGGTGTATTTAGGAATTTGACCCTGCAGGGTGATTTCTCTCCATGTCTCTCACAAACTAGGAACACACACAATCATTTTAGCAATGGGTAAGTTGTATAGTTTAATACAGTCCATTCAGAAGCATGTTATATGGAAATGCTATGATGTTTTTGTGGCTCTAATGCATATTTATTGAATGTTTATACCTAAGGAAATCATCTACAAGAAAAAAGTCTGGCACCTTAATGTTTCAGAAAGAAAATGGAACAAGTCAGTTATGCAAAGAAAAACACAAGCACAGGATCATAGAATTTTAGAGTTCCAGCGGGTATGTGACTCCCAGAGAGCCATGCCCCCCAAGCATTCATGCTCCTGCTCCTTCCCAAAGCCGGGTGTGGCCACGTGACTTGCTTTGGCCAATGGGACATTAGCAAGCATGGAGCAGAATGGTGGCTTGGTAAATGCTTGCACAGGAGAGGAGAGCTTGCTCTCCTGCTGAGTGTGGTCTCAGATGCTCCCTCATGGAACTAAGCTTCTATGGAGGCCCACTGAGCCACCTGGGGAGGCCATATGGAGGGATGGGCACCCTGACCGACAGCCCCCACTGAGCACCCATTGTATAGCCAGGCTCACTGGCCAGCTCCGTGGGTGAACCATCTGGGGAGGGGAACTCCCAGTCCCAGATGAGCTACTCCTGCTGATGGTCACATGGATAGAAATGAGATGCCCCCTCCACGTCCTGCGTAATTGCAGAATCATGAGCAAGGAAATAATCATTACTTGAAGCCATTATGTTTAGGGTCACTTGTTATTCCACAACAGATTAACTGAAATAGGGTATTAAAGATCCTGACATTTATTCTGAACCCTCCTTCTTGTGAGGATCTACTGGGGACAGATTTACTACTAGAGGAAGCTTTGGCAGGAGAGACCCAAAAGAAAGTAGAATATAACTTCTGCTTAAATAGGGCAGTCATGTAACCTATTCATCTCTACTTTCTCCTGAAATCCCATTAAAATGAAAATGAGGAGTAAAAAATCATGAATCAAAGAACTGAGGGAATGAGAGGAAAACAATAGCAGAAAAGAGGAAGCTGACACCTCTCTAAGGGGAGGGCTCCACGGGAAACATGCAGGACCAAAGATTCAAGAAACGAGGTACCAGATCCTTCTCAAGGGAGGAGTATGGAGTGAGTGGAGAGCACGAGGCTGGACTGCACCTTCTTTTTTTAATGGAGCAGCAACCTGCCCACATCTCCCTTTCTATCATCTCAGCCAAGCAGCTCCCCATATCCAAAGAGGACAACTGAAGAGGTTGAACCAAGCAGAGTGGATTCTGACTCCTCAGGGGAGGGCAGCTGAGGTGCCCTCTCCTAGAATGCCGGCCAAGGACTGACACCTCAGTCAGGAAACTGGGGGCACCTCTCTGGGAAAGCCAACTGGCCGATGAGAAGAGAACAACAGATTTTTCAAGGGTCACATTCAGGTTCTGTAAGGTCACCCCATCGGGAAGCAGTCCTGCCCAGAGAGAAAGGCTTCCGGTTCATACGACTAAGCCCCGTTCATGGGAATGGACGACTCATGAGGGAGAGCAACTACACCATAGCTTTGACCATGAAAGAAAAGCCAAAATTAACAGAAAACAGAGACTCAGACAGATGGGACAGTCCAAGAAAAGGGGACCGTGTAGAAAATAAAAGAAGCCCTGGGAACCATGGTAGCAGAAATTAAAAATTCAGTGAGGAATAAAAAGTTGATGAAATCTAAGGACAAAAAAAGCAATAAGACAGGGATGAGAAAACCTGTAGGAAAACAGAGAATGATTTCAGAGCATCCCAAGTCTTCCTAACGAGGATTTGTGCAGACAACAGGAAAAACCGAAATTCTACAAAACATTTATAATAATGTTTCTCCCCCCAAACTGAAGGACATGAGATCAGAGATTGAAAAGGTTTATGAAATTCGCAACACACTCAGGCTCATCACTGAGGCACTCCAGATGGCAGGGGGAAAGGAGATAACCTTCTCGCAAGTTTCCAGAAGGTGGAGAGAAAAGTCACAAACAAAAGATCAGGAGTCTGAAGGGCATTAGCTTTCTCAACAGCAACCCAGCAACTGGGAAACAATGGAGAAAGAGCTTTGAAAATCTAGGAGGCAATATTTTGGATCGAGTTCTATATCCATCCAAACCATCAATTAGGTATTTGTTGAAGTCAGCTTCTTGGGAAGGCTTTCCCTCAACACCTATCCAAAATTTCTGCACCTATTATTCATACCCCCATCCTTGCTTCATTTCTGTTTATGCACAATTTTTTCCTATTTATTATAGTTTATATTTTAATTATTATTTATTGTCAGTCTCTTACTCTGGAATGTAAGCTTCATGACGTCAGGGTTGTTTTTTAACTTTTTTTGTTGTGTACTACTATATCCTTAGTACCTGTGATACCATCTGTACACAGTAGATTTTTATTAATGTTTGTTGAATGAATGAATGAACGATTTATTAGTTTCCAAAAGTAATGTTCATTTGGGGTCTATCTGAGCTATAAGAGCTTTTGCTTCATGATGTAAACAGCCTCGTAATCTCATTCTTGGTTTGTCTACACATCAGAAATACAATCTGAAGTGGCTATTTCCTAGATTGGAGTAACCCTTCTGCATGGAGCATAAACCACTCCATTTTCCCTTTCCACCCATCACAGTTTTGATTCTTGGCTTCTTCAGGGAGCTAGTTTTCCATAATACTCATGCTGTTTCTCATATTACAGAAAAAAACCCTTCAAGCCTGTCTGATCACAGACTGTGCAACGTTCTTACCCCAAATGGGAGATGTGGTGACTGTCCCACGTGAGAGCTAATGCCTTATCAAAAGGCAAAAACTGCTGTTGAGGTCTGGCCCCCAACTATGCCTGGGTGAGAACCCTGCAGACAGGCCACGTATGGCCTCCTTGCAGTCAGATATCACGGCCTCACTCCCAGGACCTGGCTTTCATTCGCACTTCTGCATTCTGTATGTGTGTGTGCTTGAAACAGAATGTAGACTCTGAATGAAAAAAAAATTGGGCGTAAATTACGGTTACCTCAGGGTCTGGCTTGTGCAGCTGCCAGGTGGGTGCATAAGTCCAGTTACAGATCGTGAAACTCCGGAGAGGATGGGAAAGATGCCTTTACAAACAGGAGAATCAGTGTGCTTTCTCAATTTAGGAAAGGCATTTAAATATGCTTAAAGTTAGAAGGAATTCTTTAATACATGATGGCGTTTCATTGGCACAGGGATGAGATTCAGCATTTTCTGGCATGCCTCCCCAGCTCTGGTTAGCGCTGGCTGCCCCACATTCACAGGGGAAGCCTGAAGGCCTTGAGCTCATAAACTCCTTTTTTATGCAGAGGGAAGAGGATGGGGAAACGCACTTACAGGATGTCTGTTACGTGTCAGAAATGGTACACATTCAGTCATTGGATCCGCAAAGCATCCTGTTGGGTTGGTATGGTGTCCCATCTTACAGATAAGGAAAAGCTAGCTCTGAAGTTCCAAGTAACTTGCCTGATGTTACAGTTAGTAAAGGGTTTAACTAACTTACACATCCGATACTGTGCATTGGCAGAACCCATGCTCTCACCCATGAAGCATACAGCCTCTGAAATTCTGCATTTAGTCACATCCTCTAACCTTCCTCTCTGGACGATCTGCACTGACCTCACACTTTTAGCCTGACCAGCAGCTTAAAGATGTTGAAGCAGGTTGGGAAGAAGAGTCCTGTCTTTAAGCCAACTGAAGGAAATGTTGACACGTGGTTAGACAATCCACACGCTGGGGAAAGGGAGGGCTCTCCGTGATGGTGTTGAAATGAACCTCAGAACACTTGGAGCCCTTCTGAGGAGCCTGGGCCCTTAGGGGCTCTTCCATCTCATTGGCTCAGTGTGGCAAGGTGGATTTCCCCCCAAGAACTCTTGGTCACATTTTACAAAAAACAAAGTGCGCTTAGCAGGTCACATCCTCATACATTTTTGAATCTCAGAATCAGTTTCAGAATGTAGGACATCTTCTAAAATGTTCTTTCCCTTAGTAGGGCATGCAGGGATTTGCAGTGTGAACTTGCTGTAGCCTGAATGTTTGTGTCCTCCAAGTTCATACTGTACAACCCTAACCGCCAGTGTGATGGCGTTAGGATGTGGGGATTCTGGGAGGTAATTAGGTCATGAGGGTGGGGCCCCCTGAGGAGATCAGGAGCCTTATAAGAGGAGGCACCAGAGAGCTTGTCTTTTCTCTGTTACATGCCTTGTGAGAAGCAAGGAGAAGATCGTCATCTGCAAACCACGAAGCGGGCCCTACCCACACACCAGATCAACTGGCACCTTGGTCCTGAACATTTCTGCCTCTGGAACTGTGAGAAACGAATTGTTTTTTAAGACATCAGTCTGTGGTAATTTGATAGAGCAACCTGAATGGGCTAATATGGCCTTCAATATCCTATTCCTGCCTATTACCCAAAATCATGCCACATTCCTTGCATGTTCCTTTTGCTGTCCTGGGTTTCTTGCTTCTCCATGACCTTACTATGCACATTCATGCTTCATGTGGTGCAGCTGGCATGGGTGACCTTCCCACCACTTGTTGGCCTGGCATGCATGTTACCTCCTCTGAGCAATCTTCCCCAACTACTCCTCCTTTACTTTTCTATTAAGAATTGAGGAATTAATTTGTCTCACATATGCACTTACATTGTGTTTAACTGAAATTGCAAGCATGGA